ATGAAGATCATTACATTTCAGGTAACTTAATTTTACTGGAACAATATAGTATAATAAAATACAATATGCAATGTTATTACATGCTATCAAGTTGTCCTTAATTTAAGGTGACCCTATGAATGAATGTCCTCTAGACTTCCTGTCTGTGACAGCCCTGCTCAGCTCTTGTAGACACGAAGCTGTTGCTTTATGAAATCAATCCATCTCATATTGGTCTTTCTCTTTTTCTTCTGCCTCCAAGTTACCTTAGCGTGATTGTCTTCTTCAGTGAGCCTTGCCTTCTCATGATGTGCCCAAAGTATGACAGCTTCAGTTTTGTCATTTTTGCTTCCAGACAAAGTTATGGGTTGATTTGATCTAGGACACACTAGTTCATCTTTCTGTTGGTCCAGGCAAAGCTTTTCTCCAGCACCATGTATTTTTCAAATGCATCTATTTTCTTCCTGTCAACTTTCTTTAATGTCCAACTTTCACACCATAAAAAGTGATTGAGAAGACAATAATGTGCTCTCCTGTGAAAATGTATACTTGATGATCTGTTCTAGTTCTTTCCCTACTGCCCTTTCAAATCTCAGTTATCTTCAGATTTCTTGGTTGCAGTCTTCCTCTGAGTTGATGAATGAGCCAAAGTATGCAAAATCCTTCAGTTTCTTCATTGCTGACCATAAAGTTTTGTAATTCTTCTGTAGTCATGACTTTTGTTTTCTTGATGTTCAGCTGCAGTCTTGCTTTTGTTCTTTCTTCTTTTACTTTCATCAAACATTGCTGCTTTCTGTGACTGATATGGTATCATCTGCGTATCTTAAATTGCTGATATGTCTTCCACCAATTTTCACTCATTCCTCTGATCCTAATTCAACTTTCTGTATGATATGTTCTGTATATGGCTTGAGCAGATAAGATAAGCTATACCCTTGTCTACCACCTTTGCTTGTAGGAAACCATTATGTTTCTTCATATTCTGTCCACAATGCTGGTTATACATCAGGACAATCACCCATGTCTTTCAAAACAATCTGTACCTTCTTGTGATCCATTTAGTCAAAGGCTTCATGGTAGTTTCTAAAGCATATATTGAATATAGCAGCATCCAGCTACTAGTCCAGCAGTTGTGCTTTGAATATGTTAAATTAACTATTTGGTCTGAGATTCCAAGTTTGGAAAAAAATGAAATATAGCAGCTATCTCATGTACAGCTGCATAAGTGGGTTATCACTGTGGTGGTCTCCATGAGTATACAAAATGTTTTGAATATGATGTGTTCTGGAAGCTCAAATGCTAGAGATATCATTGACTAGCTAGGAAAGTATAATGGATCTGACCTTAGATAGAAATGGCAGGTCCATAACTGAATCTACAACTACCTCAATAAACCAATGTCCTTGGAAAGATACAAGAAACATTTTCTCTATATGGATGCATAGACTCAATTTATCCAGCAGATGAGGTAAGGTGGTCAGACAGATGGGGAGCAGCTAAAAAGAAGGTGCCACCAGGAGCCAGTTGTATAGAAAGATCTGATGTCCTGAAAGTGGAGATGAATAGCAATTACATCCTATAGCTGGCTGCTGTGGAAATACTTATCTTTTACATCTATGGATGTGATACAATTTTCTCAGCAACAGAGTCTGTTTGGAGAAAGAAAGGTAAATTCTATTGCATGACAAATCTCGTAGTGCTAAACACCCACTCACAAAAGGTCCTAGCTGCCACTTATCTAAGAAGCACCTGAGGCAAGAGCCACAAATAAATTTAGCTAGCTTCTAGATAAGGCAATCAAAGGCCCTTTTGATTGGAGCTGTTACAATTTCTCAGTGACCAAGAAGATTGTGATGTTGTATGGCCTGACAAGGAGCTACACCAAGAACACAGATTGTTGAATGTGTATTGGCTCACAATACCCATTTGTCAAAACTCCTGTGAAGTGTTTACTGCTTAACAAGTATGCCATTGGTGGCTTCACTAAACAATACCTTACTATCAAAAGTTGTTCCTCAATATGTTCTTTAGCATCTTAGGTACCACTCCAATGTAGCTATGGATAGTGTCTCAATGAAATGGAAACAGCTGTGTAATAAGAACCATAATCTTCCATGTGGCGAGATACGTTAATTTGCTGCTTTGATAACTGTATTATCTCATGTAATGAATGTATTTTCATGTGATTATCCTTTGCAGGTATGTGAGAAAATGAAATGGAATGAATGGATGCAAAGAAGAATGCAGAACTGAAGGTTCCCCAACAACTTTGGTGAAAAAGTTGAACTCAGTTGAAGGAGAAGAATGATTGTCAATATATCATATATATAACATTGTGTTGCTAAGATCAATTAGTATTTCAGTTTCATAAACTTGTGCTGTTGTTCTTAAATGTAAACAATGTAAGGGAAGTACACACTATTGTCTTTACATTTTTACAAATATTCCACTAAAAATCTACGTAATATTACATTTAAATTACATTAAATGTGTTTTAATAGCCACACAAATATTTCAGGTCAAATGTTTGTAGTGTACTGGAACAAAAAATTAACACAGTTTACTTCTTTTTAATGTATTTTGCTAAATATGACTAACATAGAGAAGTTAAATTAGATATCTTCAAGGCAGCATGGAGCAAATTCTGGTCCTCCAGAAACTTTGGTCTATGTCTCCTCTGAGCTTTATGGGAAGGGATAATGGAAGTTGCAGGCCAAAATTTCTGGTCACAATTTGCCCACCTTGTTCTAAGACAATAAAACATTTTCCTAAACAAATAAACATAATTTGCATTATAAATTTTCCCATTCAAAATTTTCTGGAAAACTGCTTAAGAAAACACAACTCCAATGCTCCCTTCTTGCCTCAACAAACATCTATGACACTTGCACATTCATTTTCTACTATGGCCTTTTATCCCTTTGCTGATTTTTCTCATATGCTCATGGTCAATTTCCACCCAGTCCCATTTGGGCAATTGGAAGCTTTTTATTGTTGTCCTCATGGAATGGTTCAGGCTGGATACTCCCAGTTTACTCTCGAGATTCAGTTTAAAAAAATGCTCTGTCACCTTTTTATGGTAAGCATCTGCTGTCATAGTTCCATTCTGATTCAAGTGGAATCCATCCCTCTTGTACAAACCTGGCTTGTCCCAAAATGTTCCTTCATGCCTAATAAATCTAAACCCTTTTTCTCTATACAGCTGTCACATTGACAGATTGAGACTAATCAACTAATCTAGCTGGCCCTACACACAGAACAGGAGGTATTTCAAGGAAAGCTACTTTGGGTTGTCCTCACTTTCTGCCCTCTACCTAGCAAGCTAAATTTCATTTCTAGGACTTCTTAACTGCATTCCCCCATATCATTGCTATAGGCATGCACCACAATCATTGACTCCATGCCAGCACTATCTGTCAAGCTATCTAGATGGTGCATTATATCTGCAATTTTTCCAACAGGCAATTTACAATACAGTCTAGCTGCTAGTCACAAACTCAGGTATCTATGTCTGTGTCATGCCTAACGACTCGGGGGAGGCGTTAGCACACGAAAGAGGGCCAGAAGCCCCCAGTGAGGATCAGGATTTAGAGCAGGGAGGTTTATACTTGGTGCCCACGGCACAGCCCCCCCCCCCCCCCCCCCCCCCCCCCGCCACCTGACTCTCAAGTTTTTGAGGGAGTTCCCGGAAATCAGGAAGGGGCGTCGGTTGTCATGGAATGTGCCCAACTCAGGCGGAGACTTCGATACTTAGACCAATTAGAACAGAGAAGGAGACAAAGAAGTTTGTCCAATCCCCATGGAAAGGGACGTGTGAGGAGATTGAGAGGTCAGAAAGAAGAGGGCAACTGTGTTGCTTGGAGCTCTCTGCAGTATCTCCTACACTGTCGTAAACATAAATCTTGTAGTCATTTGGAATAAAGGTCTTTAGTTTTTATTGCCTGCGTCTGTGTGAGTAATTGGGGACGTGATTTACGACCTCACGACAGCCTTTTACGACTGACTACCCCACCACTACAAGTTGCCCCAACCTCCCAAAGGAGGTATCTGCTGAGAGAACTCTTCTTCCCATCCACTGTGGCTACTGAAAAGCAGTCACTCAGGGATTTACAAGTTGCTATCAAACCTTCAAAAGTTTTGTCCACAACCTCTCTGTCTCTTTCAGCTTCTGCAGGTCAGTAATTTTGGTTCTGAGAGCCAGGAGATTATACCTGGCACAGGCCAACAACTTTTGTCCAACAGGCAAACAGTCATAAATGTAAACTCAAGTGATATCAACTGGATAGATCTCAAACTACTCTTGGCTTTTTTCTTGTGCAACTGTATCTTTTATTGTTGTTACTGAGTTAATTTACCTGGAAAGCCTAGTTACTTGCTAGCATAAGGTACAGAAGGGTTGACAACCCTGGCTGCTATGGCCTCTTGCTAAACACACAAAGGTGCTTAACTCACATGAATGTTTTTCATAGAAAACTTTCTTACTGAGGTTTAGATACTTTTTCACTGAGATTCCGTGGTGCTCTGGGCTCCCTCACAATTCTACTTTTTATTGCCCTAGTTACCACCCTCTGACTTCAAAAATAAAGAAAAAAAGACTGGTGCCAAATCTGACATTCTCCCCACAACCATGCTCCAGGCAAAGCCAGACATTAGACTTTTTTCTGTTATCACTGACCAGTCACCAAACAGACAGGCTATCTGATAATAGATGTAAATTGGGGTAGAATGGATTGAAAGCAACACCAGTTTCCAACTGAATAGATACACTGAATTTAAGTAATGACTTTGCATTTCATACTTCTTTTGCAGGGAATCTTCTGAAATGGAAATAGCAGAATGGTTTTGGTAAAAGAGTGAAGGTTGCACAGAAATGGTTGTACTTCACCAGAAATGATGAATGAAATTAACTCTAGCTAATGAAATCAAACTTTGCATGATACAATTTCAATATGCTACCATAATTTACCATTTTCCTAGCTAGCAAAGAGTTTCATTAATGAAATAATGTTGAAGAAAATGGCATTTCTTACCATCATTAATCTCTTCTAGTCCAGTAGTTATACCAGCATCTATGGAGCTCATTATTTTATCAATCTGCAAGAAAAAATATATAGAGAAATTTCATTACGCTTTATTGTACATTTACAAGCATAAAAACCAAAAGAATCACTATTATTATATAATAGTTTGATACACTTGAGAATACTGAGTGTACGTGTGTATTTAAGACAGGCAAAGACAGACTTCACTCTCCAGCCTCATTTACTTTAAAAATGATTTAAAGGCATATCTGAGGCATGTTTAAACCAAAACAAATTTTAGACAGATGTTCTACAATTCTCAACCCTGTTTAGACAGAAAAATTGTTATGCAATTCCCAGCATGCTATCTAAGCATGCATAGGATTGCACCCTAATTTGTTCATCATTTGCAAACTGTACATTACTGAATTTATGTGTGAAACACAGTGTAAGTGTATATAGCATGATAAGTTAACACATAAGAAAAAAGTATGAATGAAGTTGCAATAGAATTCATTATTCTAAATATTTACTTTAGTCAAAATTGGTCAGCCAGGAACAAATGCACTTTCATATAACATCCGTACATATTTCAGCATGCTCTACTGCAGTAGTTCCCAATCTTTTCTATGTCCCACACCACTGGAAAATGTTTGTGTTTGCATCCCCTACAAAAATAGTATCACATCTGAAGATGAAGAAGCCACATTTCTAATTTTTGAATCACAAACTTGACCACATAGAGTACTGCATGTGAACAAATTGAACTAAAAAAAGCTTTTAACCCAGTGCATAAAATTCAAATATAAATGGCTGAAGCCCCATTGGTGAAGATGTTCAAGGATAGGCTTGACATACACATGGTAGGTGTGTCATGAGTGGAGCCAGCTGGAGCTGGGGGTCAGACTAGATGGCCCAGGGACCCTTCTGACTCACTCTGTTTCTCAACTGAGCAATTAGAAAAAATGTAAACAGTAAAATCAGTCCCAACTGTGAACATAAATTTCAATGACTTCTTTGCTCCAGCTTTTCATTCATGATTTTGTCAAAACGTGGAACTTTCTTAATAATTGTGATCAGTAAGTCTGTCTGTGGATTCAGGTGATTCCTAAATTTTGTCTTAATAGACGAAGAAGAACTGAAAACAAAGTAATAATTTTATTATTGGGATAATTTTTGGCAGAAAATGTCTTGTTTCACCAAATTTGGCAAATTGTGACACAGCCTTCTTCTTTATTACATTCCTTGAAAAGCCATCCCACACCCCCTGGGGGTGTGGGTACCCCAGGATGGGAACCCTGCTTTATCCCCAGTCATTCTATGGGCAATCACAACGTCATACAAAAAAGTATATGAGCTACATGTTCAAGTAGCTTTGTTCCACTTATGGCCATTGTGCCTACACATTTTTATATTGTTCTTTGTTATAGGGACAGTAGTAAATACAATTAGCTTTTTTATGAATAGCAGAACATTACTGGATTAACACAATGTTTTCTTCTGCTAGAAAAATGAATTAGAGGACCATTAGAAGGTTTTCACCTGCATGCCACAGCATGTCCCAGACTACATCTAGATGACTGAATTAGCCATGGAGATAACTTCCATTAAGTCCACAGTACTGTAACAAAACCTCGGAATTGGTTTATTACTATATATATCCCTGATTTTCCCCCACAAAATATAGCTAAATTTTTATTTACTTCAAAAATCAAGCACACTTTAGAGTATGTGCAAAGGGATGTATGTATACAACAGGACTATTGATTTTTTTTCCCTGAGTTTCACAAACATTTGAAATAAAACTCTTTTTGAAGTCCTCCTAAACTTCAACAAGGGCTTGTCAATTAATGCAAAAGCCTGTGAATGGAAATGAGCATACATATAAAAATGTTAGCGTGAAAGTGAACATAAGAACTAGCACATATCTGATCAGACCATTTATCCATCTATATCAATACTGTCTACACTGACAGCACGTTGAGGCTCTTTGGCAGAGGTTTTTCTCAGCATCTAACAACCAAGATCCTCTAAAAACTGGAAGCAACAAACAATTTTTTGGATTTTGATTCGTGTCCCCTCTTCCTGAGGTATTCCTAATCTTATCTAACAAAGTTCTTATTCTTTATGCATGCATGCAAGTATTAAAGCAAATAAATCAAAGGCTTACTTCTTCCCATTCTGAAGTAAATGATGGTGTTCTTTCAGAATTTCCTCTCGAGATTTCTGAAGCTGCTGTGGATTCAGTCCAATTCCTTCTTGCTTTTTGTTCATTAGGTGGATAGGAAATGAGGTTAGAATCTGATTTTGAAACATATTTGGATAAATGCATGTCAAGGAGAGTCTTTGGCAAAGATCGTATTCTCCCAAGTGTACAAGCACGTTCAAAAAACCCTGCTGCATTAACAACCCACTGATCCCCAGTTCTTGTGATACTGGACAGTGTGTTAGTTTCTCCTAGATGACTTTTAGAAAGGAATATTGTTCTGTTTAAAATGGGTGGTTTTTTCTTTTTAACTGGAGGATCAACACTGTTTTCTTCCTGTAGCTGTGCTGGATCCAAAATATTCCTGTTTAAACTACTTTTGTGATATAATTCAACAGTCAGGCTTGCTTTTCTGTAGAGTTGGAGTGGATTTTCAGGTGGATCACAAGCAGGCGATGATCCATGAAGTAAGCCAGCAAACTGCTCAGAAGGATGCATTTCAAGGGGCTCACTTTCCACAGAAGTTTGTTGTGTCTCTGTAAGATATAATGTTTCTTTCAGTTTATTACTGCAAACCCTTTTTAAAAGAAACAGATACCACCTTCAACAGAAGAATATCTTTAGTATGCTATTTTCTTGTATCCTGTAAAATGAAGTACTGAAACCACCTGCCACATAAAATATATTTGCATATTCATTTGATTTCACTGGCAAATTTGTTAGGACTGATATAAAATAAACTCCAAAGTAGGGGCAGGGAAACCATTTAGCTACTTTATTCCATTTGTATTCCACAAATGTTGAATGAAGTGCCTTGTTTTACAGCTCATGGTGAATTTTTAGCCTTATGAAACCCCCCAGTGAAGGAGAAAAAAAGAGGGGCTTTCAGCACTGTAATCAGACATTTACGCTGGCATAACCTTTTGTGAATTAACCTCCCTTGTTTTATTTTATTTAATCATTTATTTCACATCTATACTGACCAGTAGCTGAAGCTCTCTGGGCAGTTTCCAACAGTGCATAAAAATAATACTTTAAATACCATGTTTTCAAAATGCAAAAAAATTAAAGCAAAATTAAAAGTAGGTAAAATTATAGTTATTGAAGATTTTTATATATTGTTCTTTCAGCACATTCTTCTCAGAATAGATATCCTTCTGGAGTTTGTCCTCACAGGATAGAAATGTCCATGAGATACTGGCTTGCTCAGTGAGCATTACAGTTGGGTAGGGATTCGAATACGGTTTCTCATATCCCAATATTTAGGGCAGTGTAAGTTACTGGCTCATCAAATAGCTTACCTGTCAGTAACATGCTCACTCTTTCATTCCAAGCACAGGCTTGTCAAGGAAATGTACACAGTATTTCTCATACACAAAGCATAAAATGTCACTCTAAGTTAGGAGTGGGAACACTTTTTCAACCTGCGGTTAAAATTACAAAATGGAAAAAGTCTTGTGCCACACTCCATCTGTGGACTGCCAGATGCACAGCTCAAAATCTTTGCAAAAGTTCAATTCTACACAGGGTATTTAAATGTTATTTGCCCATAAATATTCTGAACAACACAGTAAGATACACTGAGATGTATGCTATGCTGTTCAGCTTATAAGCCACCCTCCAGTACATTCAGTAGACAATAAGATGCATTGTGGGTAGTGGGCTGCCTTCCCTCGATCTCAGCCCTCCTGTCCATATCCCGGGACATACTACGAGTGCACTGAGTTCTCCCATCATTCCCCACTGCAACTGTAACCTATTTCTGGTTCTTCAACAAAATTAGAACCCTCCATTTTTGCATGTTCCCGAAATGGCATTGTCTAATTTGCAAAAGTGAGGGTATCGTTGGGACACATGGGAATCAACAAAAAGGGGGAAAAACAGGAATCATATTGTGATGGGTCCAGCCCACTTTCTAAGCTTCATTTTAAGTGGGATTTAGAAAGGATTACAAGGCTACTTTTTGGTAGGGAAATCCACCAGTTGCTAGCCTACGTACCAGTGTATTTTCCTGCCAGAAAAAAAACTTTTAACCTTTCAAAATTCCACTTTAAAAATGGAGCTTAGAAAGTGGGCTGGAGTCTTTGCAGCAATATGCCTGAGATCCCATTTGGGGAACAAGCAAAAGCAGAAGTGATCCCATTGATGGGAAAAAAATTATTGTGAAAGCTATCAGTGCTATCAGAATGCAAAGTTTCATTTTTAAGTGGAATTTAGAAGGGCTACAGCAATTCTCTTGGCAGGAAAATACACAGGCAGATAGAAGTTTCTAGCCAAAAAGGAAATAGTTAACCCCTTCTAAATCAGTCATGGAAAAAGAAGCTCCTACATTTACACCAGTCAAAATACAGTGGTACCTTGGCTCACGAACTTAATCTGTTCTACGACTCTGGTCGCAACCCAAATTGGTTGTGAGTCAAGTCAAATTTCCCCATAAGGTTCAATGTAAATAAGGTTAATCCATTCTGTAAATATTTTTTTTAATCACAGGGGAGACAGGTGCAATCACGAGCATGCTTGGGAGGGAGACAGGCACGCTCATGCAGGGAAGATGGGTACAATCGCGATCGTCACCCAATGTGGAGTTCACGACCTGAAGAAATTTTTTTCTGAAATTTTTGTACACAACCCGATTTGGTCATGAACTGAGGTGTTCGTGAGCTGAGGTACCATAAATATGTGTTAATATTTATTTTAGGACTGTTAAAACATATTCTGCGGCATATTTTCATTGTCAGACAGCAGCCACTTAAGTTTTGATATTGTTCTGTCTCCAGAATTTATATTTCACAAGTATCACACATAAAACAAAATGGCTTGCAAGAAACAAACTACAAATCAAGGCAAATCTATATTCTATATGCTGGTAACAGAACACCTTTGCCACACACACACATATTTTTGTTTGCATTCATTATTTTGCACCTTCCCAGAGTGTATGCAATGCACCAGACTAAAACCCCTACTTCCAAATATGGTATGAGCACAACTGAATTGCACACACTTGAATAATAAAAGTAACAACACAGTATTAATTGTAACTTGTGAAAAATTAAGTTAGCATTTTTTCTCATGTATAGAACAAAAATGTGCATTTCCAAACATGAATAGATTCATTAGATGACTAATGTTTGTAGAAAAATGCCTTTACAAGTAGTGAATCAATTATATCTACCACATTATGTCAATAATGAGCACTGCCGTTGCCATAGCAAGAGATTCTAGTGTGGAATAAAATCTCCTGCTTGATATGTGTGCCATAGCTATGGTAACAAGCACATTATGACAGCTGTGCTACTAATCTATTTAAATTCTCTCTATATTTGATCCAAGATGAAATTTTAGAGATCCATATCTGGAAAACCTATCTATAAGTGTAATATCAGCAATAATTGCTACATAATCACTGGACTGACTGGCAGTCAATAATGGAGAGAACAGCAGAGACTTTAGCAAGCATTTAACACTAATGTATATTTACATAAAATTGAGAATCCTTTAAGAATACCACATGGTAAAGAGCAGCTAGTTACTTTGCTTATAAAGCATTAGTACATTAAACTACTGAGCATTACTGAAACAGAATGAATGCATGTTATAGAACAGGATAGTCATCACTCTATGTAAATAGCTAACTTGAAAGTGACATGAGACCAAATACTATAAAAAATAAGCGAGTGCTTAATATATGTATGAGGACACCCAAAATCTTTTATATTAAAAGAGAAAGAAAAAAATAAATCCAAAACAGCTAGATAAGGGCCTGTGAGTTTGTAGAACTCAGTATGAGGAAAAAACAGTTTCCCTTCCCTGTTTCTGTCCAGAAACCAGCATCCCTGCCCTCAGTCTCTGAAAGCCTCAAATAGCACTACAAACATCCTGGAGCCTTGAACAGGAATACTCCTCTTAAAGATTGTTGCTACTCTACAGCTTTTTGTTGCAGATCCCACCTCTGCAATTGTTGTTGTTAGTTGTGAAGTCGTGTCCGACCCATTGTGACCCCATGGACAACATTCCTCCAGGCCTTCCTGTCCTCCACCATCCCCCAGAGTCCACTTAAGCTCACAACCTCTGCAATATTAGTTATAAAATACGTTTACAAACAAACTCATGAACAAGGAAACAGCATTTCCAAAAGGTTGCCTATAACAAATAATAAGCCTTTTCCCACTGTGGGAGAGCAGAGATGATGGTCTTCATCGACAGATATTCACATGCAGACAAGCCAAGCCTGATTAACCCAGCTAAGGAAGCTGCAGCTCACTCAGGGGGCTGAGGGGGTCCACTAGCTAGTTCAGATTCCCAGCTTTTACATTTAAAAAACAGATCAAACCCAGCAAGACTTTAGCCCTTGCCAAACCTGAAACATGAAGCAAAATCCTCAGGCACTATTTGGTCCAATTGTTGCGTGAAAAATGAGACTGCTGCCACTTTCCATGTGTTTAATTAAGTCACCATTATTACTGACATTCCAGTAGCAGTGATAGACATAAAGATAAGGGGAGAATGACCATTTGTCAGTATAAGGGGTTTTTCTAATTAATTTTGAACACAGTTTTTCTTCTGCCTTCATGAAGCAATGATTACTGCCCATAGAAAATACACTGTAGTTGTGATTGGGCAATGCCATATCTAGCACAACATTACAGATAGCAACAAATCTGTATGTTCTTTTTGTTCGGGTCCTATTTATTTAATTTAGATCTCACTTTTTTCTTATAACAAGCTCAAGCAGCTTATATCATTTCTCCTCCTGCTCTCAATGTTATCCCCAGAACAACAATCCTTTGAGGTAAGTGGGGCTGAGAATCTTTGGCTGACCCAAAGCCACCCAGCTGGCTTCATGGCTGAGCGGGGACTAGAATCCAGATTGCTTGAATCCCAGTCTTGCACTCTTAACCATGACATCACACTGGTTCACTATTTCATGCACAACAGCTGTTTGTTTGTTTTACTGTTGAGTTTGAAAGCATTTAAAAATTCATCCTGCTACTGCAGGTAGGTTCCAGTGTTACATCTAGTGAGAGGGGGAGCAGTATGGCTGAACATGGTTAAGTCAGCCTTGCAAAGTAGCCCATTGCTCTCATGCTCATCTTCCTGGTGGGGAGAAAGAATAATGTATGAAACCCCCTCAGGGAAGACCAAGATCAATATTCAGTCTTCTGATGCATTGGTTTCCTGCCGCTGCAATGATGATGATGATTGGAAATGCATTTCTGGCGCTTTGATGTCAAAGGCTATAAAGCAGCTGGAAGAACCAAACAACCTGACAACCACGATGGCAACCAAGTGTAAAGATTATGTGGCTAAGGGTGATTCCCACACCCCACCAGCAGTTTTCTCATACACTTATAAAATGGCTTTTGCAATGTGATATGATGTTGTTTTGAGGAATAAACAGTACTGAAATGTTACTTTTTAGAATGTACATTTTGGGTTTTCCAACAAGAGTACCTATCAAAAAGCAACACTGTGAGACTTTACAAAACCCAGTTTGCAAGTTTTCTAGAAAACTGGGGGAATAGTATCTTGGCAT